GGTGTGAAGTCAGGTCCAAGCAAATAGAATGTCACTGGTGAATCGCCAACTCGATTGATGAAAAAGTTATGGACTGCACACGAAATATATCCTGTAACACGCCATACCCTGTATTGATTTGTATTTTGCATTTATGGTTTTGAAATGGTGATAACATTTTATCAATTTTTTTTTACTGTTGATACATACACAGGTGTTATTTCATTATATTTCTTAAATAAATTTATTGTTATCTGTGCAGATCTAGCATTGATCAAGATTTTTCACTGAAAGTCCAGATCCATACCTCATTCTTTTGAAGTAGCAAACATTAGTGCTTCTTGTAAAATTTCCCTTATTATGCGGAGGACGTTGGTTACAAATTCTTGTTTAAATATAAAACAGTTTATCTCTAGATGGGGATGTCTTTTATTCATTCTCTGCGACAAGAGTAGAACGCACGAAAGCAAAGTCTTCCAGAGATGTGCAAGTTACTCAAGATAATTAAGGTGGGACAAGTGTTCGAACAATCCAAGATGCAATAGACAAGTAGAAAAAATTAACAACAGATTGGCACACATAAAATGCGTACGCGAAAATAATGATTTAAACTTTAGATGTCTGTCAGGAGCGTATAGTGCAACTCCTAATGAAGCAACACAATTTGCACCAAATATGATGGCAATGGAAAGAGAATAACGACTTCCAGCATCTAGTAGCTTCTTTTTGGTTGAACCACTAAAGTGTCCAATATTCAGGTATCAAAAAATAGGGATTATGTAGAGACGATAAGTGATAACATAAACCATGCCAATTTTGTGGCCAGGAATCACTTAAATAACAACTGCACCAGGGCAAAACATATTCGACAATCCAACTGATGAATTCTTACGAGGAGTGCGAAGCGAAGTAGTATAGAATTTATCGGAATGCATGAAAGTTGGTGGGTGAGACTCTAAAATAAAGGTTCAAGTTTGGTGCTAAAGAAGCTTTCCTGCTTAATCTTTGTAATCCAGATAAAAAGGCCAGAGATCAGAGCATTAATTATACGTGTATATGAAAAAAAAAAATGAAAATGAAGCGAAAAAGGCCTAATGCATTCCGGCTTGGTGCCGGCCTTGTATTTGGGCTACGGCCATGAGACATGGTGGCTGTGTACATAATCCTCTAGCAATTCCAACAGTCCAAATTGCAAGCGAATCGGACCAGCGGTTGGCACACAGTGCCAATTGTCGCACCCGTTTTTTTTAGAAACTTTCAGCGCAAACGTATATGAAAAAAAAAATGAAAATGAAGCGAAAAAGGCCTAATGCATTCCGGCTTGGTGCCGGCCTTGTATTTGGGCTACGGCCATGAGACTTGGTGGCTGTGTAGTCAGTCCTCTAGCGATTCCAACAGTCCAAATCGCAAGCGAATCGGACCAGCGGTTGGCACACAGTGCCAATTGTCGCACCCGTTTTTTTAGAAACTTTCAGCGCAAACGTATATGAAAAAAAAATGAAAATGAAGCGAAAAAGGCCTAATGCATTCCGGCTTGGTGCCGGCCTTGTATTTGGGCTACGGCCATGAGACTTGGTGGCTGTGTACATAATCCTCTAGCGATTCCAACAGTCCAAATCGCAAGCGAATCGGACCAGCGGTTGGCACACAGTGCCAATTGTCGCACCCGTTTTTTTTTTAGAAACTTTCAGCGCAAACGTATATGAAAAAAAAAAATGAAAATGAAGCGAAAAAGGCCTAATGCATTCCGGCTTGGTGCCGGCCTTGTATTTGGGCTACGGCCATGAGACTTGGTGGCTGTGTAGTCAGTCCTCTAGCGATTCCAACAGTCCAAATCGCAAGCGAATCGGACCAGCGGTTGGCACACAGTGCCAATTGTCGCACCCGTTTTTTTTTAGAAACTTTCAGCGCAAACGTATATGAAAAAAAAATGAAAATGAAGCGAAAAAGGCCTAATGCATTCCGGCTTGGTGCCGGCCTTGTATTTGGGCTACGGCCATGAGACTTGGTGGCTGTGTACATAATCCTCTAGCAATTCCAACAGTCCAAATCGCAAGCGAATCGGACCAGCGGTTGGCACACAGTGCCAATTGTCGCACCCGTTTTTTTTAGAAACTTTCAGCGCAAACGTATATGAAAAAAAAAATGAAAATGAAGCGAAAAAGGCCTAATGCATTCCGGCTTGGTGCCGGCCTTGTATTTGGGCTACGGCCATGAGACTTGGTGGCTGTGTAGCCAGTCCTCTAGCGATTCCAACAGTCCAAATCGCAAGCGAATCGGACCAGCGGTTGGCACACAGTGCCAATTGTCGCACCCGTTTTTTTTAGAAACTTTCAGCGCAAACGTATATGAAAAAAAAATGAAAATGAAGCGAAAAAGGCCTAATGCATTCCGGCTTGGTGCCGGCCTTGTATTTGGGCTACGGCCATGAGACTTGGTGGCTGTGTAGTCAGTCCTCTAGCGATTCCAACAGTCCAAATCGCAAGCGAATCGGACCAGCGGTTGGCACACAGTGCCAATTGTCGCACCCGTTTTTTTTAGAAACTTTCAGCGCAAACGTATATGAAAAAAAAAATGAAAATGAAGCGAAAAAGGCCTAATGCATTCCGGCTTGGTGCCGGCCTTGTATTTGGGCTACGGCCATGAGACTTGGTGGCTGTGTACATAATCCTCTAGCAATTCCAACAGTCCAAATCGCAAGCGAATCGGACCAGCGGTTGGCACACAGTGCCAATTGTCGCACCCGTTTTTTTAGAAACTTTCAGCGCAAACGTATATGAAAAAAAAATGAAAATGAAGCGAAAAAGGCCTAATGCATTCCGGCTTGGTGCCGGCCTTGTATTTGGGCTACGGCCATGAGACTTGGTGGCTGTGTAGTCAGTCCTCTAGCGATTCCAACAGTCCAAATCGCAAGCGAATCGGACCAGCGGTTGGCACACAGTGCCAATTGTCGCACCCGTTTTTTTTAGAAACTTTCAGCGCAAACGTATATGAAAAAAAAATGAAAATGAAGCGAAAAAGGCCTAATGCATTCCGGCTTGGTGCCGGCCTTGTATTTGGGCTACGGCCATGAGACTTGGTGGCTGTGTAGTCAGTCCTCTAGCGATTCCAACAGTCCAAATCGCAAGCGAATCGGACCAGCGGTTGGCACACAGTGCCAATTGTCGCACCCGTTTTTTTTAGAAACTTTCAGCGCAAACGTATATGAAAAAAAATGAAAATGAAGCGAAAAAGGCCTAATGCATTCCGGCTTGGTGCCGGCCTTGTATTTGGGCTACGGCCATGAGACTTGGTGGCTGTGTAGTCAGTCCTCTAGCGATTCCAACAGTCCAAATCGCAAGCGAATCGGACCAGCGGTTGGCACACAGTGCCAATTGTCGCACCCGTTTTTTTAGAAACTTTCAGCGCAAACGTATATGAAAAAAAAAAAATGAAAATGAAGCGAAAAAGGCCTAATGCATTCCGGCTTGGTGCCGGCCTTGTATTTGGGCTACGGCCATGAGACTTGGTGGCTGTGTACATAATCCTCTAGCGATTCCAACAGTCCAAATCGCAAGCGAATCGGACCAGCGGTTGGCACACAGTGCCAATTGTCGCACCCGTTTTTTTTAGAAACTTTCAGCGCAAACGTATATGAAAAAAAAAAATGAAAATGAAGCGAAAAAGGCCTAATGCATTCCGGCTTGGTGCCGGCCTTGTATTTGGGCTACGGCCATGAGACTTGGTGGATGTGTACATGATCCTCTAGCGATTCCAACAGTCCAAATCGCAAGCGAATCGGACCAGCGGTTGGCACACAGTGCCAATTGTCGCACCCGTTTTTTTTAGAAACTTTCAGCGCAAACGTATATGAAAAAAAAAATGAAAATGAAGCGAAAAAGGCCTAATGCATTCCGGCTTGGTGCCGGCCTTGTATTTGGGCTACGGCCAAGAGACTTGGTGGATGTGTACATGATCCTCTAGCGATTCCAACAGTCCAAATCGCAAGCGAATCGGACCAGCGGTTGGCACACAGTGCCAATTGTCGCACCTGTTTTTTTTAGAAACTTTCAGCGCAAACGTATATGAAAAAAAAATGAAAATGAAGCGAAAAAGGCCTAATGCATTCCGGCTTGGTGCCGGCCTTGTATTTGGGCTACGGCCATGAGACTTGGTGGCTGTGTAGCCAGTCCTCTAGCGATTCCAACAGTCCAAATCGCAAGCGAATCGGACCAGCGGTTGGCACACAGTGCCAATTGTCGCACCCGTTTTTTTTAGAAACTTTCAGCGCAAACGTACATTTTTTTGTACTTCATATTTGTTAACAACAAATATGAAAAATAAATATGGAAGTGCCACAAAAGCATCAAACTAAACTAAAACCAACTAAACTAAGTTGAACAGTCGTTATATTCCATAATCAGCACGTATAAACTCTCTTTTTGATAAATTGGCTATAAGCTAAATATTCAGGATGAAACAATCCTATATTTGGTGTAAGTATTTCGGTATAAGTATTATCTAAAAAAGAACAATACATTTTATTAACCTTAGTTCAAGTATTTTTCACAGTTGTAATTCTTATGTAAATACTCGGATAATCTAATGCCTCCGCTGTCGTTGTTTCAAAAATTTAGGAAAAGATATTTTAAAGGCTCAAATAATTAAAAATTGTTAGTTAATATGCATCTTTTGATATGTATTAATAACACATATCGGATTATATTGCCCATTGAGACCCTGATTTATTTTGAGTTTATATTTTTAAACATATTTATTCTAAGACATTTGTGTTCAGAATGACATGCATATTATAGTTAACAAGATTGTATTACTAATTCATATGTTGAATTACTTGTCAAGTATGATATCTACGAATCTATGATAATCTTTATAATCACCCATTCTACACAATTATGTCTCAAGTACGTTCAACATCTTTATCTAATCAATATAAACCTGTGTCGGGTAAGACATTAACAATGCTATCAGAACCAAAATCTTAAGATTTTTTATCATCTTATAATAGCAAAGTCCGCATATACGCCTACCCATATCGTACCAGCAGGATGGATCGAAAGGCAATATTGATTACAATTTTTTCTCTTTTTGTGCTAACCTTAAAAGTTCAGTCTGCAATTACAAGGTAGGAATCTTTTCCATTATCATGTTTATACCGTTGTTTCAAATATTTAATTCATATAAACAAATGTTACATTATTTTGATCATCTTTGATAATTGATATATGTGTAATAATCGAAATTAATCATTAAGATCTGACTTTACACTATTTTTATCACACGTGTGTGAAAATAGAATGAATATTAGAGGAAAAATCTATGATTAGAAAATCCATATATATAGATATGGATTACCTTATTTTTTATCCCTGTTAAATTAAATCGATATGGGTCATGTCATCACTGAATATCTAGTATTGTATCCAAAGCTTAAAACATTCAATGAAAATGCTGAAATGTAATGTTTAAAGAGATATTCTAAAAGTTTACATGAAAATTATCAACATCCTTATTTAAAACATGACTTTTACACACAATGTGTAGAAAATAATTAATTTGAAACCGTTCGGGTAGTTACTTGTTTCGTTTCAATCAAATTGTACATGCAAAAATCGGCTATGTTCATTTTTTGTCATAAGACAGCTCCAAAACTAACTAAGTTTTAATATACAAAAAAGATTATTACACCAATATATAATCAAATTTTTACACATTCTGATGTCTCAACGTCGATTAATGACAATATTCGTAAATAAATAACAGTGACTACCTGAATATTTCAGTAGCCAAAGGAACCAAAATTATTACATTAGATTTACAATAGTTAATGGAATAGTCTTCTGTCTAATATCAGGGAGTCAGAGTCGTTGGCTTATTTACAAATCAAAGTCAAAGAGTTATAAAAAACAGTAGTTTTATTACTATTACTTTTTCAATCTCTTTGATGCGAGCAAACAATGTTTTTGGAAGCCCGCTCATAAGCTTTTGACGAGCGAAACAGGTATTGATTAATGTAAAAATTCTCTATAAGTTCACGATTTTCCTGTGTTCCCAAAACACCCAGAAGCGATTAAATGGTGATGCAGACATCGAAAATATTTTCTATTTTCTTTAAAACGTTGGTTTCTTAGAACATAGATTAAACAACCAGCAGTTTTATCATTTTCTTCAATCGAAGGCGATTTCTCGATATTAGAAGTAATTGTATTAACGTAAATAAGGATCGTTAATAATCATTTTGCTTCATGTCTGTCATTGCAAATGCGGAGCACTATTTTGTTCGATATTATACTCGTATTTATACACTAATCAATGACGTACTTTTTCAACTCATCTCAATCTCTCAGCATCTTGTAATACGGTATCAGGATATATATCTCGTATATATTGCCTTAATGAATCAGAAAATATATAATTATTTAATAAAAGAAGTTTCTTACATAGATTTTAAAGTGAAAAAAAAAAGATTAAAATCTTAAGACTGGGATAACTACTGTTTATTTTATAAACAGCTTTATTTAATTTTACCTATGAAATATGGTGCTATATCAGTCAAATATATTTCATATTTTTTAAAAATAAATATGAAATATAAATATGAAAGTGGGCGGAGTCAAAACTCATATTTATTTGAAGGGACTTCTTTCGCCATTTTGTTTGAAAAATCTGATGAATACATACAACTTTTTTGTTGAATTTTGTTTTGAAAACTATCTAGAATGATAGAAAATGGTCTAACTAAGAAAATAAATCCGAACACCAATATCTTTAATTCAGTCATTAACGCTGTACAGACGTTTAAAAAGTTGTTTACGTGACGTCACGATCTAGCGCTAAATATCGCGTGCAAAACAAGACGATACTTACATTACTGCGCGCTGTATAATTGCAGTTGCGTAGCAGGCAAGGGGGTTCATAACCATTTTTCTTTGATAATGAAATTAAATAAAAAGGTTATTTTTTCGTTTTTCGTGAAATATGGTATATATTTTCACTCAACATGATAAAATGCCTCATATTTTCACTCGCCGTCCCGGCTCGTGAAAATATGTGGCTTTTTATCATGTTTCGTGAAAATATATTCCATATTTCACTCAAACGAAAAAATATCCTCTTAATATTCTTAGAAGTCATATTTTGTATCTCTACAACTTTAACATAAGATGTTTTAGGAATTAATCAATTTGATGAAGTTGAAATAAGCTCGCAAAGCCCTGTATGGTATGTAACGACATTTCTTTAACAATAATGAAATTTATCAATAACATACGAGTATATCGTACCAAAGTTCTCTGAGACATACAAACGTTTCATCATTTGATAAATACCAATAATTCAAATCCAAACAGGATAGTTCGTTATGTTTTATCTGATTTACTATTCATCCCGTCTTACGTGTTTTGCATTTGTTCACAAGTATGACATTCCTTTCAGATTATTAGGATATACAAACGGCTTATGGAGGACACGCCAAGAAGTACTGTGTTACATTTCTTTTTCAGAATTCTAAAATATATTTTCATTTTATCACTTCCTATTAAATTAGACTATAAACAGTTAAACAGAAAAATACGACAGGAAAAAGCACAATTTACCGTCCTATGATTTAAGGTGTTTGCTTGGATCACATCTAAACACATCAAAATAAAAACTACTAAAATAATTTCTTTACACGTGCCTATTCTTAGAATATTATTTCAAAAAGTTTTTATATGTAAATTAAATTTGGGACAGCCGACCTTGTTTTCGAATAATCATGTCTTCATTTTGACTTTTTTGGGTAACTTATACATAAACCTACAAACCTTAACAGATACACATTTTATAATTTCTTAAAATGTTAACATCATCAATTTATCAATAGAATCAAAGTTTTAATAATGTCTATTTGTAAGCCTTGCATAGCCATTGAAATAAAGAAAATAAAAGAATGAATCCATTTATAATTCATTATCAAATGTATTAGTACGAGTCGTCCTGTTGTATTTCTCTTTGTCAATTTCAGACGGGAGCTCCTTGACAATTTAACAAGCGTTTCAACATACGATCAAAGCTACCCTTCAGGTTATGATGAAAGTACGTTGTATGTTTGCTTAAATATTTTCATGTACAAACATTTCATTTATTCATTAAATTTGTTTGAAAACATTTTTTAAAATGAATACCTATATAAATCAGTAAAGGTTGTTACTTAATCGGAAAGTATTGCCCTGGACTAACTGTTGTCTTGTTATATAGTCAATGACAATAAACACATTTGTTAAATATACAAAAAAGTTAAGCTTTAAATATTTTTACCAAAATTTATCCAGTTCATCACTAAGGCTACTACGAGGGGTGTTCAAATATGAATGCAACGGGGTCCATTTTTATAAGTGCTTAACAAACAGTGCCAAAGTAATTATCTCAATCTTTCAAAATACTTACCACTATGTGATGTACAAAGTTTAAGTCTTTAAATCTAATTTTCAATCTTTTTGAGGTAGATGTTTTCGCGTTTGATATTATCTTCTAACAAAGTGTTTTAGAGCCTTGGAAATAGGAAAAGTCACAAGGGACATATGGCGGCGTGGCCGAGTGGTTTACGCGTCGGACTAGTAATCTAAGGATTGCTGACCGCGTGGGTTCAAACCCTGACAGGGGCATGCCGTTGTTTCCTTGAGCAAGAAACTTTACATTCATTGCTTAGTACTGGTTGGTTCCAGGAACAGATTCGAAAGTGTTTCAATAAGCTTATTGCTTCCAACACAATCGAACTAAAATAAATTTGTATAAACTAAGGGACAAGATCTGGCGAATAAAGAGGGTGAGGAAGCTCGACAACATTTTCCCGTTTCAGATATTATCGTGCAATGGCCGCTTTGTGTGCCGAAGCATTGTCATGCAACAATCTGAGAGTACGGAGAACAGTTGCTGGTCGAGAGGTTTTGAAATATTTCTTAAATTTATAAAGGACGTGGCCTTTGTAAAACTTTGCATTTACAGATTTACCTTTTGGTACGGCAACTTGAATAGCAGGGCCTTGATTTGTTAAGAAAAATTCCATACATGTCTTTTATGACGCTCATGGTGCGCCAGTAGCAATTTAATTCTTTATTTTTACAACTGCTTTTAGCAAAGTTGCAGTTTACGGACGGCGCGCAAGAGATGCACCTTTTACTGAATCCACACCTCTAAATTTCTTACACCCCCGTATGACAGGTGGAAAGAAAGTTCATTGATCCCAAAAACAGGACATATTTCATTAAATTTGTCTTTCGCCTGTATACCAAGAATACAGTGATTCTTGATATAGAACCGTATTTGGTCAGTGAAAGGAGACCTTTTCCCAACCATTTTAGCTTTAGTATACACGAATAGATAGCGGCAATCGAGCTGTTGTCAAAACTGGACTGAACTGATTTACACATGTATTGTATAAATTGAGAGCTTACACTACCATCTATGCGATACATGTATATAGTTCGTGCAAAACGTGTTTAAAAGCGAGATATAGGCCAAGTTGCATTCATAATTAAACACATCGTACAAATTGATATTTTGTTAGAATTTCCGACAAGCGAGATAGGTGATGCCAATTTAAAAGGGATAAACGAATAAAATATCTTGAAGACAATTTCGGCATTCTGTTATCAAACTATTCCTTATTTCATGTTTTATTCGAGTGGAGGATGATTTGTAGTTGCAGATTGATTTTCAATTGATTTTTTATTCTCTGAGATTTTTTTAAGAGCGGTCGGAAAGAAAAAAGATTTTTCTATTTTTTTAAACGTACAAAATAGGTACTCTGAATCCGACGAAAGAAAATTAAGATTGATGTGGCCTAAACGAGATTTGTACGACTAAACCAGATATAGATAATGGTGTACATTCTAATGTGCACAATCAGCGTTGCAATGTTCACATATTAATCCACTTTTTATCATCTGCCATCTAGCATAACTATCTTATCAAAATGATGAGTCGTACATATCTAAATTGTTTGCTCACCAGATAATCAAAACAAACAGAAAACCTAAGTATAGGGATCATTTCAGTCCTTGGCAAAATGAAGTATATATGAGTATATACGTATGTTCTATATTTAAGTATTAAATAAAACGAAAAATATATTATGCTTATTGTAGGTCAAAGTGATAGCAATGATCGCATGATAGTATATAGTAACTGTTATGATATTCTTTTTAACAGCTGTTACAATGGCTGTATATTCTCAATTTTGGGTGTTGGTCTTTCTTTGTGGATTCTGGTTTCTCTATTTTGTAATTAATCTACAAGTAAAATGTTTGATTCCTTGTAATTCCTTGATGACTTTCATTTATATTATTTATATAAATTCGTATTTTCAGACATACAGTGTGGCGTTATTGTACAACTAGAGATTTCAGACGTGACATCAATTAGTGAACAAAATATGGTATAAAATTTAAAATGCTAATTTCCTTTATCTCATGGAGAAAATCTTTTACGAAAATTGGTTTATGCAAATAAAATGGAAAGGGAAATTGCTTCTGTACAATTTTATTACTTTCTGGCCGTTTTTGGTTTTGAAATCATCAGATTTATTAAACAGAAAAATTAAGCATTTCTCTTATACAAAATGAAGTTTGAAACAATACGGATACAAAGAATTATTAAATAGTATCTAATTTAGTGAAACCGGATGATATTTCTCTTCAATTATTATTACAGTTTTGTTAATTAACAATTGAAATGTAACTTTGAAAAGGAATCGCTTCAACCTTTTTTTTCCCGCTATATATATAAGTTTTTCTACACACACTTTGTAAGAAGTGTTAAAAATTTATGTCCGTGAAGTACGCGGGCTCGCGGGCTAGCAGTCTAGCCGGCTAACAGTATGAACTGAGCGGGTGAGCAGTCTAGCGGGCTAACAGTGTGAACTGGGCGGGCTGGCGGACCAGCGGGCTAAAATCTAAAACTTTATTGATTGAACATAAAAATGTTATGATACATTACCTGGCAGTGTGAAGTGGGCGGGCTAACAGTGTAGCGGGATAACAGTGTGAACTGGGCGGGCTGGCGGGCCAGCGGGCTAAAATCTAAAACTTTATTGATTGAACATAAAAACGTTATGATACATTACCTGGCAGTGTGAAGTGGGCGGGCTAGCAGTGTAGCGTGCTAGCAGTGTGAACTGGGCGGGCTGGCGGGCCAGCGGGCTAAAATCTAAAACTTTATTGATTGAACATATCAAATGTTATGATACATTACCTGGCAGTGTGAAGTGGGCGGGCTAACAGTGTAGCGGGCTAGCAGTGTGAACTGGGCGGGCAAGCGGGCCAGCGGGCCAGCGGGCTAAAATCTAAAACTTTATTGATTGAAAATAAAAACGTTATGATACATAACCTGGCAGTGTGAAGTGGGCGGGCTAGCAGTGTAGCGGGCTAGCAGTGTGAACTGGGCGGGCTGGCGGGCCAGCGGGCTAAAATCTAAAACTTTATTTTATTGATTGAACATATAAATGTTATAATACATTACCTGCAGTGTGAAGTGGCGGGCTAACAGTGTAACGGGCTAGCAGTGTGAACTGGGCGGGCTGGCGGGCCAGCGGGCTAAAATCTAAAACTTTATTGATTGAACATAAAAATGTTATGATATAATACCTGGCAGTGTGAAGTGGGCGGGCTAACAGTGTAGCGGGCTAGCAGTGTGCTGGGCGGGCTGGCGGGCCAGCGGGCTAAAATCTAAAACTTTATTGATTCAACATTAAAACCTTATGATACATTTCCTAGCAGTGTGAATTGGACGGTCTGACAGTGTAGCGGGCTAGCAGTGTGAACTGGGCGGGCTGGCGGGCCAGCAGGCTAAAATCTAAAACTTTATTGATTGAACATAAAAACGTTATGATACATTAATTGGCAGTGTGAAGTGGGCGGGCTAACAGTGTAGCGGGCTAGCAGTGTGAACTGGGCGGGCTGGCGGGCCAGCGGACCAGCGGGCTTAAATCTAATACTTTTTTGATTGAACATAAAAACGTTTTGATACATTACCTGGCAGTGTGAAGTGGGCGGGCTAGCAGTGTAGCGGACTAGCAGTGTGAACTGGTCGTGCTGGCGGGCCAGCGGGCTAAACTTTAATACATGTACTTAATTGTATCAACATGAAAACATCATGATATATATTTCTTAGAAGTGTGACAATATGAAAACCTCATGATACATATCTAAGAAGTGTGAAGTGGGAGGGCTGGCGTTTTCATGATTCATTAACTGAAGTCGGCGTTTTTTCATCATGGCAAAGAAACAGGCACAGTTATGGACTTACAAAAGGATTAAAACCAAAACCTTTGTACTCGAGCCAACTTGTGGCGAACTGGTTAATATACCGGACTCTCAGTCCAGGGGCAGAGATTTTTCTGGGGTCACTCCTGTCAAATATTTCGTATTAAATTAAACCATGGTCTCAACCAACCAGGGATGGTTATGGAGCTGGCATCTTCTGTATTAATAGCAAAATTTAGACATTTTTAAAACTCCTAATCCTAGCAGGCTGAAACAAACTACGGACATTAACACTTAATTGTGAAAGTGCTTTGACCGAGTATACTCAGCCTTTGCGAACATCGAAGATCCACATCAGTCGGTGCGCATTCGCGCCGTCTGCCAAGAATCTACACTGTTTACTGCCCAACCACTGAGTATGATTCTAGTGTCCAGGCACCGAACATTGTGGAACCTGAACAACCGGCTATTGTTGGCGCCTATTAATAATGTATAACTCAAAAACGAGAACGGTGACCCCAAATTCTTTTTTGCTTAAGAAGTTTCTGTTATCAAATTTATTCAACATGCAAAGTTTAAAGAAATTCTATTGAACAGTTTTAATTTTGCCTATATGCCTATATGAAAACTCCCGAAAAAGTCATTAAGGGTTAAAAAGGGATACTCAGGCAAATATATGACAAAATATTAAATTTACCATATTTACTTAACTTATGCTAAAATGAAGTTTAAAAAGTGATTAAAAGTCCCTGCATGTTTTTTGTCTGTATAAATACTTTATAATGTGAGTTTAAAACCTAAATAAGTCTACATATGTTGAACGAAATGACGACGCAGAAAGAACTAATGAGTAGTTTTAAAACAAGTCATTTGACAATTACAATCCCTAGAAGTTAACAAAACAAATATTATAGATATTGGAAGATTAAAACAAGCCTAAGTCGCTCATTTGACAGGTTCTTTTACGTTTTTATAGTTCACGGTGATAACTATAATGGTGAAATCTAAATGCTGTAACTTGACCCGCGTGGGTCAGGTTAGGAAATCAACATTTTTTTTCTTTATATGGAAAAAATTTTTGTTCCAAGGACTGCTTAGTCTATTTATTTCGATGACATTTATAGAATATTGGATAGAAAATTAAAATCTAAAATATGAAAATTTTGACTGTGTCTCCCTTTAACTTATGATGTCGTTTCAAGAAAACTATTCAAATTCTAATTTATATTCAATAAAGTTTAAACGAAAGAACGAAAGATGGTTCCCAAAAAATTATCTAAAACTAGACTGTGTCCTCAGGACACTGATGCTCCCACTGCTGCAACAACATGTGTAACAAACCTTTGCATCAGGTATTAAGAACAAGTGGTGAGCATGACTAGTACATGAGGAGTAAGTGCCATAAAATTTTATGACTAACATAAAGAAAAGGTATTGACTCTGGAGAAAATGCTTGCAAGAAAAAATCCTTTACAACAATGTACACATAATGTCTAGTCATATGTGCAAGTTTATTAGAAATCAGCCAAGTAGAAAATGTGAAGTTGATGCCACAAAATGTTATGGCATAAAAATGTTATGAGTGGCAATAACAAAAGTCTGGTAAATATGGCAGCAGGAAAAAAAATATTTTCTTTACAATCATCTATAAATCCTGCTTGATCCTCTGTATAAGTTTAAAAGAAATCGGTCAGGGAGTTAATGAAGAGCTGATGCCACAAGATTTTATTGCTGAACTTATCACTGGGCCATAACTGTGATGAAAATGGTCGCAGGAAAAAATATTTTCTTAACAAGAGCCATGTTAGCATGGCCATCCCCCGCCAAATGTCTTTGCTCATTGTAAGAATGTATATGTAGTAGAGCAAAATAATTCAATTTAAAGAGGTCTTTTGGTAATGAAAACTGATGGGTGAAGTGATTACAGATTTGAAACCTATGTGAATACTGATGGCTGAAAATAACAAAGGGCAATAACTCAAAAATTATGCAGGTAGAGTTATCATTCTTGTGTGCTGCACTCATCCTCTATGAGATCTATCCACCTATGAAGTTTCATGTTGACATCTCAAAGACTTTGAGTTATGCTCCACTCAGGTGAAAAATAAAGTATGAAAAATGACAAAGGGTAATGACTCAAAAATTATGAAGGGTAGAGTTATCATTCTTGGGCACTGAACAACTCCTGAGTGAGATCTATCCACCCATGAAGTTTCATGTTAATATCTCAAAGGCTTTTTGAGTTATACTCTGGACAAAAACTAAGTTTGAAAAATAACAAAGGGCAATAACTCAAAAATTATGCAGGGTGGAGCTATCATTCTTGTGCACTGCACTCATCCTCATTATGATCTATCCACCTATGAAGTTTCAAGTTGATACCTTTAATATTTTTTGAGATATGCTCCGGGCAAAAATGACGGACGGAAGGACGGACGTACATATGGACGAGTGCAACTCTATATGCCTCCCACTTCATGGAGTCATAAAAAATCCATATACAAGCTAGACTTAAAAAAATCAATGTCAAATAAGGTTAAAACATTATCCCGATATGTTCCTCTTATAAATTGCCCATATCAACAAAGCGATTTAGATGACATAATATGCATGCTCTTGAACCAAAAATACAAACTTCAAATCGACGACACCTACAGATTAGATTCAAATGTTTTTTCAGTAATGTTTAATATGTTTTATTCGGATTAGCTTAATGTAAGTTAATCTAATTACAAGTAACGTGTAATGTGAAACTCTTCTAACTGACACAAGTAGTATCACAGTAGTTCTTACTATTTATTGGTAAATATTGAGTTGCGCTCAACCCGAAGCTAAACGGCGTGGGCAGTAATATGCATTTCCATTACTGCCCATGAACAGGCTCATTAAACCGAGCCTGCAATATTTTCATATTGTGTCGCGTTCGTTCCCTTTTCATATATTGTGATTAGTTTCCACTTATAAAAGGTTTTCTCCCATTACTTCGAGCGCCACTTGCTTTCGGAGATCTGGCATATCGTCCTGAAATAAACATTTCAACACAATAAAAAATACTTGGCCTTCTAGTTTCAAAATTACGGATTTCATTAAAGGAACATTTTGGGTACGATAAATTATATAACTGCATTATTTTGTTATATTGCATACAATAGCAATAAAGAATTAACTACATGAACAGCTGTTCACAGTTTGGTTAAAATCAAGATCACCAAGTCAAACCTTTGAAAAGTCATTTCCATACAATAACTCATGTTTATGTAGGAGCGAATTGTAAGTGTTATTTGATTTTCTTTCTGAAGGGAACCCCCTACATACCAAAGTCCTACAAATCATTCACTTGATATGCACAGTATATTACTGATTTATATCCCCTTTTGCAAAACTGGAGTTATGGCGCGGAGATGACATTTCTAAAAATTGACATAGTAACCTAGATTTTAAGGAAGCGTGACCAAGTTTAGACCGTAAAGTGATCTTGAGTACCAACTTCACACTGCCAGGTAATGTATCATAACATTTTAATGTTCAATCAATACAGTTTAAGATTTTAGCCCGCTGGCCCGCCAGCCCGCCCAGTTCACACTGCTAGCCCGCTACTGTTAGCCCGCCCACTTCACACTGCCAGGTAATGTATCATAACATTTTTATGTTCAATCAATAAAGTTTAAGATTTTAGCCCGCTGGCCTGCCAGCCCGTCCAGTTCACACTGCTAGCCCGCTACTGCTAGCCCGCCCACTTCACACTGCCAGGTAATGTATCATAACATTTTTATGTTCAATCAATAAAGTGTTAGATTTAATCCCGCTGGCCTGCCAGCCCGCCCAGTTCACACTGCTAGCCCGCTACTGCTATCCTGCCCAGTTCACACTGCCAGGTAATGTATCATAACATTTTTATGTTCAATCAATAAAGTTTTAGATTTTAGCCCGCTGGCCCGCCAGCCCGCCCAGTTCACACTGCTTTCCGGCTACACTGCTAGCCCGCCCACTTCACACTGCCAGGTAATGTATCATAACATTTTTATGTTCAATCAATAAAGTTTTAGATTTTAGCCCGCTGGCCCGCCCAGTTCACACTGCTAGCCCGCTACACTGCTAGCCCGCCCACTTCAGACTGCCAGGTAATGTATCATAACATTTTTATGTTCAATCAATAAAGTTTTAGATTTTAGCCCGCTGGCCCGCCAGCCTGCCCAGTTCACACTTCTAGCCCGCTACACTGTAAGCCCGCCCACTTCACACTGCTAGGTAATGTATCATAACATTTTTATGCTCAATCAATAAAGTTTTAGATTTTAGCCCGCTGGCCCGCCAGCCCGCCCAGTTCACACTGCTAGCCCGCTACACTGCTAGCCCGCCCACTTTACACTGCAAGGTAATGTACCATAACGTTTTTATGTTCAATCAATAAAGTTTTAGATTTTAGCCCGCTGGCCCGCCAGCCCGCCCAGTTCACACTGCTAGCCCGCTACACTGTTAGCCCGCCCACTTCACACTGCCAGGTAATGTATCTTAACATTTTTATGTTCAATCAATAAAGTTTTAGATTTTAGCCCGCTGGCCCGCCAGCCCGCCCAGTTCACACTGCTAGCCCGCTACACTGCTAGCCCGCCCACTTCACACTGCCAGGTAATGTATCATAACATTTTTATGTTCAATCAATAAAGTTTTAGATTTTAACCCGCTGGCCCGCCAGCCCGCACAGTTTCACACTGCTAGCCCGCTACACTGCTATCCCGCCCAGTTCACACTGCCAGGTAATGTATCATAACGTTTTTATGTTCAATCAATAAAGTTTTAGATTTTAGCCCGCTGGCCCGCCAGCCCGCCCAGTTCACACTGCTAGCACACTACACTGTTAGCCCGCCCACTTCACACTGCCAGGTAATGTTTCATTACATTTTTATATTCAATCAATAAAATTTTAGAATTTAGCCCGCTGGCCCGCCAGCCCGCCCAGTTCACACTGCTAGTCCACTAGACTGCTAGCCCGCCCAGTTCACACTGTTAGCCCGCTAGGCTGCTTGCCCGCCCAGTTCACACTGTTAGCCCGCTAGACTGCTAGCCCGCTCAGTTCATACTGTTAGCCCGCTAGACTGCTAGCCCATTAGCCCGCATACTTCACGGACATTAAAAATTTTGACTTTGACTAAGAAAAGTGTACAATCACCTGTTTAGACCTGAAGTACTGAAAGTATTAAAAAAAGGACTTTAAAATACACACAATACAAGAACTTGTTCACATTAACATGTAAATGTCAACGTGTTCTTTTAAAATATGGTTGCCTTCACTATATTAAATGGGATGAAGTCATTTTTAACTTGTAAGGCTAAAAGAAATAAAAGAGAAGAAAATCCCATAGGGGTATACACAAGACAAAGCTGTGGTTAAGGTAATGCAACACATACCTTCTCGGTGAAGTTTGAACCGCTTTAAATCTTCTGAAACCACATGCTTTACCGGCGAAAAGGAGCATTGTTTTAATAAGGAGGCTAAATTAATGGTACATGATATAGGAGAATACATCTGCTTTGTTTTCATATTAGTCTAGTCATGGTTTCCACTTATTAATGCTTACTGATAAACATCAAATGCCCCTAGCTCTATTTTATGTAGTTATTCAAAAAACTTTTTAAGTGAAATAAATTTTAAAATATATTATTGTAGTTTCTACTTTTTGCTTATGTTTCACCTTTATATCATGCTAAATGTTCATTAGGAACTTTAAATTGAATGATCAAGTTTATAAACCGCACCGTTCATCTTTCAAATGAACTTGAACAATGACATGCATGAGTATGTGGCACGAAGCATCTTGTTATATCTCTTTACTGATAAATAATACAAATCTTTGCATTTGGCGGCACATTTGTTTTGAAAAAAAATAGAACAAAGTGAATTGGATAAAATCGGATCAAAAAAGCATAGAGACACCAAAAAACAATTTTCCATGAACACTGAGGATAGATTTTAGATATTAGTAATCAAATAATCTAATGATTGCTGACCTCGTTTGTTCAAACCTTGTCAGAGGCAAACAGAATTTTTTCTTGAGCAAGAAACTTTACATTCATTGCTTAGTACTGGCTGGTTCCTGGAACGAGAGTGTTTCAGTAAGCTTGTAGCTCCAACATATTTCAGCTACAATGAAATTATATAAACAAAATGATTTTCAATCATACGTAGTAAAATGTTTTTAATTTTAAATCTCACCATCTATCAGATTTTAATTTCAAGAAAGATTGAACAAGGTATTTTAAGAAACGACAGGTTTATTGCAAAAAGGTAAGTTCAAGTTATGTTTCATGCAAGTGGTGCAAAAAGAAGTACTAATATGTCCTTTCGTGCAAATAAAAAAATATAAGTTTATATAATTATATGAATAAGCAGATTGATATGGCCAACAATGAATCGGTAGAGTATGCCACGGGCTCAAAGCTATTCTTATAACCTTTAAATAATAAAAAATCAAGCTAATGTTAGTGTTGATTTTAAAACTGTATTTTTTTAACAGTTCGCAAGTTTTTATTACTATCATGCTTCAGTCAAGGAATTTTGTATTCCGTTCAATATCTAAGACTGTGATGATATGTATAAGTAAGTAAGAAAGTAAGTAAATTCTTTATCATAGTGACATGTGTTATACGTATATACATACACATAAATACACAAAGATGAACACCCGGCCCATAGGACCTATAAGTCACTTTAACAAAAGATCATATTCTGAGCATGTGTTATAGTTTTTAACATGTTATATATATGTATATATATATGTCATATATATGTATATGTTGTTTTCCTAAAGCAAGTTTTTTCATCAAAATACAATTGCTAAATACAAAAAAAACACTAATAGTCTGGGTCCTGATTAAAATAAATGGATATAACTAACAGCTGTACTATACATACCTTCTTGAAATACAATTATTAAAATAAATGTGTTCGTTGATATACTTTAAGGAGTACAGTTTGATGATGTTTCTAAGAATGCAGTGGAGAGATTCAAGGCTTGCATTTTATGATGTCGCAAACTTTACTCGTATCGACCTTACCGGAGATATGGTCGACTTGATCTGGAAACCTGACCTGTATATAAGCAATGAGAGAAAAGTTGATCCTCATTCGTTTGTGAAACACGAAGAACTTGCGTACATTGATCCTAATGGGACAGTCACATTTAGTATGCGGTATGTAATGAATATTAGTGTATTATCTTTGTCACAGCTTTAAAGGGAGACACAGGCACATTTTTTATTCGTTTTAAATTTTTATTCATTTTTCTGTAAATGTCCTCAAAATGAATACACTAGGCAGTCACTGGAACATAACTTTTCTCCTTATAGAGAATAAAATGGTTGTTTCCTTACTTAACCCACGTAGGTCAGATAAGAGTGTTTTGATTTCACAATGGTTGTCACAGTGAACTCTGGAAACATCAAAGAACATGCCAAGTGAATGGCTTAGACTTGTTTCAATCAGATAATATCTACAATATCTGTAATTGTAACTACCAGGGTTTATCCAAGTCACATGACTTATTTTCAAACTACTCGGTGATTCGGTCGGCATCTAGATTTTGGTCAACATATATAGATATAATTACACTTCAAACCCAAAATTATATATAAAATTTATACAGAAATTTATGTTGGGACTTTAAAAAAGTCATTTTAACGAGATGTGAGTACATAAGACCATTCTAATATTTTGGTCTTATATTTTTGCCTGAGTACCCCTTTATGTATATAATTAGGCAATTAATATTATATCAATTTGCTGAATAATGAAATATTGTGTCCCATCTTCCATATTTTTGCCTGAGTACCCCTTTATGTATGTAATTAGACAATTAATATTATATCAATTTGCTGAATAATGAAATTTTGTGTCCAATCTTCCATATTTTTGCCTGAGTACCCCTTTATGTATGTAATTAGACAATTAATATTATATCAATTTGCTGAATAATGAAATTTTGTGTCCAATCTTCCATTCATTATAGAGTTTCGATGACTGGTAACTGTCACATGGATCTAAACTTGTACCCATTTGATGTTCAAACATGTAATGTAAAACTTCAAAGTTGTAAGTATTTTAACTGATTTGAAAAAAAATAATAGAATTTTTTCAATAGCAAAGTAAAAAGGTAAACATGATTATATAAAATGTCCTTTCAAATTGTCTGCCCTTGATATAATGTTTCAAGAATGAGGAATATTTTACAAATGATGTTAAGAAATGAAGCAAATTAAAACGTTATGGAAAGGGAGAGATCATTCACTTCAGTGTTGTTATATTTTTCTTTCCTTTAGGTCTATTGATTCCGGCACTAAATGTGTTGAAAATTGAGTACCTCTCAAGGGTTGCTAGAGAGCGTGTGGAGTGTTGTATTTTCCATTATCTCTCATGTACAGACTCAATCAAACCGAGTTTGCAATATTCATGTAATTCTGTTGTTGGAAATCCTTCAAATGGTTCATCCTATTCCCAGAAGTTTTAATTTTATTTAATTCAGAAATTCATGTCTATCTTGAAAGCAAAGAAGTACTTGTTGTTTAAATGAATGAATTTGATGCTTTTAAGAATATTTATCTTAAAAAATTAACGAAGCAAAATGAAAGTGGCCATTTAAATATGGAGAACAGATTACTAAAACACAGTACCTAGAATATCAACTTATAAAGTCCTCAGGAAAAAAGAGCCGGGACGTGAAAATAGATAAGACAATGAGTGACTTGCTCATCACATGAAGTTTTTTTTTCTAAAATTGGCGACACACCTTGAAATGTCAAACCTGTACGAACTCAACATCCGATCACAGACAACAAGAATTTTTGATGCAATACATTTCGTACTTTAAATGTCGAGGAAATGACATTTGGTTCGCAAAAATATACTTGTTGTCCTAAGACGAAAATAACACATTAAGGTAGTTCACCCCTTAATGGCCACTACAAGGAACTGTAAAATTGCCAACATAGGACAGTTATATATCTTAAAGTTCATCTTTATGTAAAAATGTAAAATTAAAACAAAATTTACCTTGTGGTTTATGAGTTATGCCCATTTTTTCTGAACTAAAATTTTGGTATTGGAAGTGCTATTTTTCAGAAGAAACAAGGAAATAATAATTATATATTTTTTTAATTTCAACTATATACAGACGCATTCACGTCGGACAAACTCCTTTTTCAATGGTCTAAGAATGGTATACTCACGTCCCACTTTGATTTAGCAAATTACGAAGTAGACGTCGGAGAAAATTTAGAAGGCCTAGAACCAAGTAATGACAGATCTCTGGCAGGTAACTAATGTGAATGTAATATGAAACACTATGATAATTTTGATATTAAAAAAAAACAATGCATGCAAAATGAACAGCAAATATCTATCTTCTATTCGAATGAACCTAATCGTTTAATAAATAATTTTGATTGTATTAAAGACTCATTTCATTTGTAAGGATAGAAAGAACTTGCTATTTATATGCAACACAATTACTGAAACACCAAACAATATGAAATTATTAGAATAAGAAGTTCGGAAATTGTTTCTGTTAAACACTTTAACGCATACTATCAAAATTTCAGGTGGCGAATTTTCCTTCTTAATCACGGGTGTAAAGTTTAAAAGAAGGAGTAATGCCTATGGATCTATGTACTTTGCTCCATTTCCAATATTCTTCGTAATCGCCATGTGCTCGTTTGGGTTTAAGGATCAAATGGGCCCTCGCGTCGCGTTATGTACGACTGGATTGTCGGCAACGTTGCTACAGTGGATTGCCATATACTCCAGATTGCCTCCTGTCTGGTACTTCACATTTTTGGATGGATGGATTTTATTTCATATTTGTATGGTTGGGGCAATTCTCATTTTTCAAGCGATCTGGTATAAGTTCTTTAATGAGGTATGTTTTATTCTTTGATTCGCATCATATCTTGCTTCCCCCGACACGAATCATTTGTATGACCATGTTTTTATATAAAAAATAAAATAAAATTCTAGTCTTTTACGTCATCATGCTATATCGGTCGATCTTACTGAATCATTTGTTTTCGATATAGATGTTCGGATTTTCTGTATCCGAAACCAACACAACCATTGAATCAAAAAAATCAGTCGATTCATGTACGAAAGTAAAGCGATATAATTTTGTATGAATCGGAAAATTAAAAAAGGCGCAAAAACAATTGGTATAAATAGTAATGAAATGACAATACATTTCCAAAATAAGTTATTGCTTATCATTATTTTTTCTTCAAGTTATTAACATCTTAACACAATATTAATATAGATGAACATTGCTTACATGTCAATGTTAAATATTTAAATGTCGTTTGAAACAATCGCCACAGATATCCTTCCCATTTTGCGATCAGGCAATTGAAAATAGTTTACACACATTTTTATTTGATATATCGGAGTGTTATGCATACGAACCCTTTGTATTCCTCGAAATGTCACGTTAACATCTAATAATGGCTTTATTTAGGGAAAAGCTAGTTATTTTTTAAAAAACTTTTTGGCATAATGAAACTATAAAGTAACCGACTTTAGTGGCTTTTTTTATAATATTCTACCTTGCAATGATTGATACCGCATTGTATTCATTAGCATAAGTTTTTGACGGTTTTGAGGTTTTATAAGTAATTTACAGTGTTTAATCAGCCAATACGATTAAGAAGCACCGTTAACACTATCTGAATGTAATGATACTACAGGAATTGTTCATTTATTATTTTTACATTAAAGGCAACACACAATTATCTACCGTTGAATAAAAAAAACATGTAGGGATATTTTTCTCAAAAGTAAGTTCTTAATTGTGTTTAATTTGGTAAGTCATATTTTTCAAGTTAGTTAGCTAGTATTACCGTAGCGTGCGCTGATTATTAATAAATACAATCTTAATTGTAAATATTTATTAATTTCAATATACTAGTATCCCGATACATATACTTACATTAATAAAAAAAAACTTCGGATATACAATTTTTCAAAAGTTTCTTTTTAAATATAAAACATGAATGAAGAAGGAGATATATAGTGGACATTTGTTTGTTTAGCATGTAAGATTGAAATATAATTTCACTGAGTGAACACCAGACGCAATATTTTTACGAGTGGCGTAGCCACGAGTGAAAATATAATAGCTGGTGCTCACGAATGAAATATATTTCAATCTTATATGTAGAACAAATAGATTTTCTATTTATTTCATGTTTTTTAAGTGATTTTAAGTATTTTTTACTGATTTTGCCGCGTAACGTCGAGCATTCTCCTTTGTGACGTCATCATATTATGACGTCACATCATCAATTTTGAAATACAGTTCTGTTAAATTTCTCTAATTTTGTTACATTTTTAACATGATTTATGGTGAGTTCGACTTACTTTTCCTAAAGAAGCAAAATTAACGTACGACCGCATTTATTTTTGCCTGTTATTCCATTTAGTTATGATTTTCTTTTCATCCGCATTCAGATATAGTCCGGCTACAGTGAAAATTATATTTTATAAATTTCACTAGTGGTTTATCAGAATATAATCATCTGATATATTACAATAAAACACTGGAAAGCATGAAATAAATGACGATAAAGACAAAAATGCCTCTTTGTATATTACCTTTTCGAGTAAAACAAGCAAAAGTATTTAAAATCGCTAAATAAAAACTAAATAAGCAATATTTCAAATATATGAAATCGCACCAAGATAAATATCCTTTTTACCTGTGCTACAATGAAGATACTCACTCTCTTTTTTAATGACAAAATATCGTTCTACCGTGAAAGCGGATAACTGATGCCACGCGCTACTGAGTACACGCACATAGCTGGTTTCACTCATTTTGTAAACATTCATTTGTCGCCTTAATTTGCGAAAATACTACATTTCTATACTAAATGGCAAGGAATAGTTGATGTTTGTATTATTCGTCTGCGACATTTTCATACCAGCACGTTTAGCAATACCCTGCTGTAATCTAAAGCTTAAAACATTGAAATAATAATTTGATTATATTAATTCAATTTAAGAAAGAAATGGCTAGTCCCAAAGCGACAGTTTGCAATGTTATCATAACTTGGCTTTGCAAGCTTCTCTCTTTGTAAGCTATTTATTTTTGCAGAGACCAAGTTTAATGTTCCAATCTATTTAGTTACTGTTTTAAGCAAAGTAAATATACTTAATTTGAATCTTTCAAGTGATTAACAAATGTATATATCAGATACTAACAATAAATTCTGACTTTCATTGAATACTAAACAAATTTAGATTATAAACCTTTTTATAAAAGATAATTAATATAAGATGAATAATCAACTTTCATTTCAGTCAACAATAAAAAATGAGCTTGAGAGAGATGGGTTCGCCATGTTTCTATATATTTATGCTTTAGTGTGCGTAGCTCTTCTGGTGACTTGGTCAGGCTCAAACCGGCTTTGGATTATTTTCGTTGTGATTCCTGGGCTGACATTTTTATTAACTATCATTGACGTTATTGTTTTAGCAAAAAACGGGTACGATGCATTTATAATCTTAATAGGTAAAAAGTGGACTTCTTACAGATATTGCACGTGAACTCAAACTTTCCTTATAGTGAATTTTAGGTTTAATTCTATAAACCCTTTCTAACGATTTTCGAATACTTCTGTACCTTTTCGTTACTCCCTGATATTTAATTTGGACATGTGAAAGTGTTTGCTCTAACATATTTGTAATTTATCTCGTCTATTTATCTATTAAGAGAATATTTAATATATATTATTTAACATTTCAGCATCAGTATAATCAGCAAGATCTGCAAACAATTCAGACGGTATGTAACATATTTCAACGATTGACCTGACTATCATTTATCTAAAATGATACAGTTATCATAATTATATACTGCTCACGTTGGCTAAGCACCATAAGTTAATTGTTATATCATCACAAGTATATAACATATTTCTTTCCAATTTCTAAATATTCTGATTCAGCCATATTTTGAAAGTGCCTCCTGACACGAATCTGTGTTGACTAATCTGTTATCACTCGTCCAGGTAGCATGGAAAGCATTTACCCCAATATGTTACATGAGGTGTACATTCACATCTCTTTTGTTATACGGTGACATTACCAGCTTATTGTCATTCTCTGGCTTACATTTCTTACATCTGTCAGAGAAACTGAGTTATAGAGGGCTGTAGGGATGGTACAGCTGGGGAAAACCTTCCGCTAGTTTGGTGCGGGGCTTGGTGTACACCACACTGACATCACCAGAGTCTGGGGGAGACATACCGGCTACATGGTACACCTGTCAGGAGTTATACTAGAGATTGTCTCAACACCAGCTTAGGATCGGTTTTTGGTCTTTCGGGCATGTCATGCAATGTCTTCGACATCAACTTCTCCACGGACCTTGCTAATGCCAAAGGAAAAGACAAGTTGAAAAGTTTAAGGCTGCAAATATTGCTGAGCATGACCTCAACGGATGTTGGTCAATTATGGTTATGGGAGGCAACAGCTGAGATGGACGATCCGACCTGGTTGTGCTAAACAGAGGCACATTAACAGGTCAGCAATACATTGACAACATCTTAAACAACTAGATGAGCTTGTATGGTGGAGCAGTCGGCGATCCTAATGGACGATAATGCTCGCCCCAATGGAGCCAGGGAGGTCCAGGACTTCCAAGAGAGTCAGTCAATTAAGTACATGCATTGGCATGCCCGTTCACTTGACTTAAATCCAATAGAACACATGAGGAATGAGCTGCAGGTTAGAATTTAAGTTCTTCAACTGCGACCCAAAACCTTCCAGGAGCTTGGAGTCATGTTGCTCCAAGAATGGGCTGCCATATCCGTGAAACGATCTAATAGGGAATATAAGAAGGCACTGTAAAGCTGTCATTGATAGTCACGGGCCACACACACGGCTAAAAAAATGAATATAGGAAAACTCGCTCCTGCATTCTTTAAAGAGGGGTATCATTTTCTTCTCTAGTGCAAAGTCAGTGGAAACTCATTTATAGGTTTAAATTCGTCCTTCATTTGAATTGATGATACTGTAAAACAATATTTAGCGTAAATAACATTATCCTAAAAACACTCACACTCGAACCTATGGTGCTAAGCAAAAGTCCTAAAAACCTTTTCTTGTGATCTCAAACGCTTTAAAAAAAAGGTTTAGTGTCCTGTTACAATTTCTATGAAATACTTATTGGTCAATAACCTGAATCATCTGTTGCTTTTTTGCAATGAGTACAATAATGAGAACAATTTTGTTGATTAAGTATTTTGTATGGAAACCAAAAACTACTTTATGACAAATAATAACACATTCAGCGCTTCTTGCTTAATGTGTTAATCTCCAGACACGGTGTAAAACAATAATTTAAACGTTATGAAACTAAATTAAATCTATACCATTTCTAGAGAAGAAAAAACGTTTCTGAAGCCTTTAAATTTGCATTAATGAAAATAAAAACTTGTTGAAATGTTTGATGAATATCTTTAGATATTTTTGTCACTAAGCTGGTATGAATATTTTCTTTGTTTAATAATATTCTCGTGTACAAAAAATAAAATCCCTTTCATTTATTACTATTGTTCGAAAATATGCCCCCTCAAGTTTTATATACTATGCGTATTATAGATATTAAATTGCTATGATGTCTCTGTTGAAATCCTTAGGATAGAATGATTATTTATATTGCTTTTAATTAAAAATGTTCATTGATAGCTAATGTATTTCTCATCAAAAGTTTCTTTTGTTGCAAGTCAAAGTTGGATAACATTTGTTATTGTTATGTAAGCCACATTGTCAACTTTAATGATGAATAGTTGAACGATTTTGATGTTGAAATTTATTTAAATGTCTTCATGCTAATGCTTATTTACGTTCAAAATATCAAAATTGCCCAATTTTATTATTGTGCTTCTAATTATCTTAGGTGCTGTTGTTGCAATTCAGGTAAAGTTGAAGATAAGAGCAATTACACCCCGTAAGTATTTAAGTACATATAGTGTTATAATAGATCAAAAACTATTGTTGTCAGAATATTTGAATTGATGTGAGAAATCTTAAGACGTTCTCAACCTAAAACGATTAGATCTACTTACAATTTTAATAATTTGAAAATTTTAATTCATTGCCAATTCATTTAGATGCATCTATGGATTTGTAGTTTTAGGTCAGTTCAAGACACATCTGCTCAACCTCCTGCAGACAATGGAGAAAAGGCAGATGTCTTTAACAAAACTATCGAACAGTCTTATGCATAAGAGTGATAAACAACTAGTTTCGAAAAGGAGATACTATCACACGATATATCTAATGTAGATCACCTGCCTCTAATTGTGGTAATTTATAACCCTGTCACAAAAAAATGTAACGAAGAAAAATCAGTTTCGCCTGGAATAAGATGAACGATGACATTTATTATCACGACAGTATGAAAATGAATTACCATTTTTACTTGAAATATTAGAAAAGCCGATATTGATTTTATGCACGACGATATTAAACAGCAGATCAAGATAGAGGATGGGAGATCCAAGGGATCCCAGAATTACACGTACGAAAATTACAAAAAAATTATGAATTAACTTGAAGCACAAATCGAAAAGGTAGAAAATAAATTTACACAGCTTCAGATTGTGATAGATTATTCTGGAAACTAGTTAAAATCAGGCAAGAGAGAAAACTTATAATATACTCTCAGTTAGAATCAAATTTGGAATTCACAAGAGACCCAGTCGTTATAGCAGAAAAAAAAACATTTAGTTCCTTGAAAATGTCTTTTCACGCTGATTGTCAGAACGGAGTGATGAAAATGAAAATTTTAAATTTCTGTAGAACAATATATAGCCTAAATAAAAGTAACTTACTACGATAACATAATTATTTATCTCATATTCTAACACTCAACGTGATTTTGTAATTATAGACAAAGAAGGTAAAAACACTGGTGAGGGACAACTTGAATATGCGGCTGATATGTTTTCACTCTCGATTATATATAGTTTACAAAGCTTTAAAGCAACAATAAAAAACATTTTTATTTATATTTTCAGTTCTTATAATGTTTTCTTTTCGTACAATACCGAAATAATATTTTACATACACTAACTAAACATATTTGATCCATATCAGTTAATAATGTTGACAAAACGGCGCCAATCCGTAAGCAGCGTAATGACGTCATCCTAAGTAAACAACTCATTCACAAACAAGCTGACGTTATTTCATACATACAAAAATGATAAAAGGTGCACTGATGTAAATACAATACGACGTTTAGAGGATATTTCTTTGTTTTGAATGTAAGCTTGATGAGTGAACAACAGATGCAATATTTTCACGAATGGCGCAGCCACGAGTGAAAATATAATAGCTGGTGTCCATGAATGAAATATATTTAAATCTCATATGTAAAACAAATATATTTTCTTTTTATTTTATGCTTTTTAAGTGATTTAAAGTTCTTTTTTACTAATTTTGCCGCGTAACGTCGCGCATTCTCCCTTGTGACGTCATCACATCATGACGTCACATTATCAATTTTGGAATATAGGTCTGTTACATTTCTCTTGTTATGTTACATTTTTAACATTATGTATGATGACATCGACTTTCTTTTTACTAAAGAAGCAACATTTACGCATGACGGCATTTATTTCTGCCTGTTCTTCCATTTAGTTATGATTTTCTTTTCATCCGCAATCAGATAAAGTCCGGCTACAGAGAAAATTATATTTTATATAAATTTCACTAGTGGTTTATCAGAATATAACCATCTGATATATTACAATAAAACACTGGAAAGCGTGAAATTAAAGTTTCAATTTTTGAAAACTTGATAAATAAACGTTTTATTTTTATTATTTCTTTTGTTTAATTATTTCTATACCTTCACAACAGAAGGGTGCGAAAATCGAACAGCGTTATACGACAGTCAACTGTCTGGGGACCCATCTAGCAGAAACTTTTGAAATGCCATAGACATCAGTCAGAATTGCATGAAGTGAGCCGAAGCTTATACCAACTTCCCTAGCAATGCTTCGCAGGTTTTGCCTTCTGTCGCACATGACCAGATCATGCTTCGGCAGTTTCAACGTGGGACTGGCGTCTTTTGGCCGCTCATCTCCAATGCTCTCCCTGCCCCTCTTAAATTCAGCAGTCCATTTTTGTCAGTGCTATATATAGGAAGGGGACTCCTTCCCGAGTGTATCCATGCAGTTTTCATGGATTTCCTTTGTTAATGGCGTCTCTGATTTCATTTTTTTTTCGATTTGGTCTAAATGCAAACCCCTCTACTGATCAAATAGTGTTTTATGTTACTGAATCTGTTTAAAATTGCACGTAACTTTGTAAATAATCTCCAATAAGATATCGGTATCAAGGTATCGTGTGTAAATGTCATTGTAGTGGCTAGAAGTAGATCGGGCCGATAACTTTTTGATCATACATGTGGAAAATTAAAAAAATCTGTCACCACAAATCGACGTCGCGTATGCTACGTTCAATTCAAGACAGACATGAACAAACTGAAGTTTGTAAAACGAGACGAATTTGCAACTTGAATTATGGTTTGAGCCGGGATAAGTTTCTATGGCAAGACATCTCTAATTTTTAACAGTTAAGGGGTAAAAGTTAGTGCCAAATATCTTTAAAAGACAAATTCTAAATCCATTTCTCGAAAAAAGATATTATACGACTTTCTTCTAAAAGAGAGAATGATTTGGTATTCCTTCAAGACTCGGGCTTAAGTTATTCCGCTAAAATAACCATTAATTTTCTCAACA